ACAACAAAAAAGTCTGCAATTGTTTCATATGTAGTACATGGGATTAGGTGCAAGCATGGTGTAGTGGTTTGAGTGTTGGACTACCTTTCTGGAAACCTGGGTTTGATTCCCTACTCTGCCATGAAACCCACTGGATGAACTTGGACAAGTCACATGGCAAACCACCTCTGAACCAGTCTTGCCAAGATAGGGATTTACTTCTTATCCGCTGCTGCTTCCTCCTCCTGCCTCATGCCACCCCTGCCACCCCCTCCTCCTCCTCCTCTAACCTGACTTCCTCTCTACTTCCTCCTCCTGCCTCCCGCCGTGCCACCCCTTCTTCCTCCCCCTCCTCCACCCAGCGTATAAGACGACCCCCAACTTTGGAGAAGATTTTCCAGGGCTAAAAAGTAGTCTTATACGCCAGAAAATAAGGTGTGTGTGTGTGTGTGTGTGTGTGTGTGTGTGTGTGTGTGTGTGTAAGGGGGATTATATTTCTTGGCTAACATGACACATATATTGACCGGCTTTGCTCTCTCTCCGTCTCTCCTTTATCCAAAAACTGAAGAGGCAGGTACTCTTGGAAGCATCCAAATCCTTTTGGGATATGGTTGTCCTATATTCCGAAGGCTCTGAAACAGCATCTGAGGTATCTATATTTAATGTGTTGCACATCTACGAGCATGGAGTAAAAGGATTTGTAAAGGGAGGGAGCAAAGGAGACAAAACAGAGCGTAAATCTACAATCTGCTGGGTGGGAGGACAACGTGAAAGGTAGGAACAGATGGCATGTTAAAAGAAGGTTGACAATGGGTTACGTTTCTGTACAAAGCCATCTAATTTTGCCTTTGCAGGACTCAGATTGGCACAATTTGGGGAAAGAGCCTTTTCCCGAATGACAGATCCCAGAGTCCCACATGCTGGGAATTGTTGTTAGTTTAACAGATAGGCATAATAAAATACTCCAAGCCCCTCTTTCTTTAGGCTTTGAAAGTGACACATTATGATTAAAACGGGGAATCCTTTCAAACCATCAAAGAAGAGCAGTTTAAAAGACTCGTAATACCTCAAAGTAGCAGCTATAAAAGTTCGGGGGGATTCAACAGGGAATTGGAACCATTCAAGGATGAGACTGTTTTAAAGATCAACACAAGGAACACAAAGGAACCGCTATAAAAATTAAAAGCAGAAAGAATAAGGTGTATCAATTAAAAGCTCAAGAGAATAAATTATCCCTCCATACATCTAAAAATTGCTCCCTAAAAAAGAGAACATTACACAACCAAGATGTCACTCACATTCGAGTTAGCATCCAATAGCAGCTACTGCATCAATTTTCCTTTGGAACAACAATTAGGAGACAATTGATACACAACATACAATTTCCTTTATGGGAAAGTGGGGTGGATTACATCTCCCACAATTCTAGCAAGCATTCTGGGAGGTACAGTTTACCAATGATCTTCCCCAAGCTCTCAAGATTTGCTTTCTTAATTAATAATAATAATAATAATAATAATAATAATAATAATAATAATAATAATAAATATTTGTATCCCACCACTCTGAATAATAATAATAATAATAATAATAATAATAATAATAATAATAATTTGTATCCCACCTCTCTGAATAATAATAATAATAATAATAATAATAATAATAATAATAATAATAATAATAATAATATTGATCTCCCTACTTAGCCCTGAGACATTGCATTGGGTTAATTACTATTAAAACCAGAGATGTTTTTGTTCCCAAGAGGACCCAGGGATCAACAGGTAATTTGATTTCAGAGCCTGAACAGGGCAAATGACTGGAGGTTAGCAATGTTTATTTGGAGTTCAGAGACAGCCAAAAGGCGAGCAAACAGAGAGAATGGCGGGTGTGATGGAAGCAAGAGAAGAACCTGGAAATAATGTGTTAAAAATTAATTTGCAACTCCTGCTTTCTTTCATTTGAACGATGCTTTAAAAATTCATTATTTTCATTATTTATTCACGGCTGCTGGCTGAGATGCAGGCTATCTGGAAGACCACATCTATGAGCCTCCTGGGACCCTCAGATCCTCCGGAGAGGTCCTTCTCTCAGTCCCATCGCAAGCATGGTTGATGGGGATGCGAGAGAGGGACTTCTTGGTGGCTGCTCCTAAATTCTGCAACTCCTTTCCCAGGGAGGCCAGAATGGCACCCTCCTTGCTGTCCATCTGTCTGCAGGCAAAAAACAACTGCTTTTATACAGATGGCTTTTAAAAGAGAAGCTAAGGATGCGGTAATGTTTTAAACTGAAATGATGATGATGGTGGTGGTGGTGATGATGATATATTCATTTGTACCCTGCTTTCCTTCCATAATTGGGATTCAAAGCAGTTTACAGTCTATGAACACAGTCTAAATCTCTTTTTTAATTGCAATTTTACGCTTTTAAATGTAGGTCTGAGAGCCAGCGTGGGGTATTGGTTTGAGAATTGGACTGCAACTCTGGAGATCAGGGTTTGACTCCCCGCTTTGCTATGACATCCTCTGGGTGATCCTGGCCAAGTCACACTCTCTCAGCCTCAGAGGACTGCAATGGCAAACCTCTGAAGACATCTTATTTTAAGAGAAGGATCTTTAATATATATATATATATATATATATATATATATATATATATA